CCAGGTTTGCAGTTTGCAGAAGGAGGTTTAAATAAGTTATGGATAAATATGTACTAAATTTTATTCTTCACATTTATTGTTCAGTCTGGTATGAAACGTATTATCCTCCATTTAGAAGCAAGCTGTGCATAATGAACTGTTGGTTGTTTGTACACCTCGTAATTCAGAACTTTTTTGTAATAGTACGATCCTCGAAACACTACATTGCATTGTGTGTTATAAAACTTCTGACTGTTGCCCAGTACTTAAAACCATTTTGATATTGTGGTTTTTTGAAATAAGTTTAAGATGTCGATGTTGTCTTCTGGGTAATAACACCACGTGGATTTGTAGTTAGATATCATTGTTTCAGAGAAACTTTCATCTTCAGGGATAGTGCGTTTCTCTGGAACATTGGTATCTTCAAGAAAGTCTACATGGTATTACTACCCAGAAGACCGGTGTCAGTGTGTTCACCACGATGTAAACCTCAGATGTCATAAGTATGAGATAATTTCTGTTTCAGCTCAAATCTCTCAAGTTACCAGATCACTGGATGAAACATTTCTTCCTTGGACATACATTCCTAGAACTTCAACTAAATGAAGACGCTCTAGATATTTACTTTGCCCTTCAGCACAAAGGTTTTGAGAAGAGTACTTACCTGATAGCTCAGACTGCTATTGCTTTTCATAATAGAAGAGGTAATTGAAAATGGTTGCTGTCATATTTTCTGGCTCACAGGACACAGTTTTATACCTTTCAAAATCGCTTTGCGTCTCACAGCAAAGGTTGCCGCCCTTGCCAGTGCAGGTGCACTATGAATTCATCACAGTCGGGGTAATTTTGGTTTCTACTTGTTTCTCTAATTCCATCCACCCTCGAGAAGCAGCATTTGATGATCAACATAATTTCAGCACATTGATGATTATTACAGTTTGAAATTTTAATCGGTGACGATTATTTTTTAGCGTAGAGTGTTTTGTTTACCAGATGCCTAGCTTATTATGGTAAAAAACAAGTGAATTTTGTACATTGTGTGCCGTCAACTAGAAATTATAGTCTCTGCAGAAGAGCAAGGGAATGTGGTGGCAGAAAGACGTTTTATTCCTCCACTAATTGAAAAAAATTATACAGATTTGATGTTCTTAGAAGGATAATTTGAAAAAGAGAAGTCAGCTAAAATGTTCTATGCATGGGAAAAGTGCAAAATGGCCAGAATTGGAGGCTGACATATTGAAATGGGTAGAGGGACATTGTTGCAACGACTTTCCTGTTGCAACAAGAATGATATGTACACGCACTCTCCAGTCAACACATGGCTGTCACATTATAGATTTCAAAGGTGAAGAAGCAATTTGGTGCTATCGCTTTATGAAGTCTGATGGCCTATGTATGCGTGATAAACCCGAACTTTCTCATAAAATACCGCTAGAATATGAACAAAAAATTTTATCCCATCATTTTGTTATCCCTTGTCAGAAGAGAATAACCATAGAAATAAGACAGGTAAAAAATGTGGATGAAATGCTACTCACCCTTGATGTTTCCGCTAAAAGGACTTTTACTTTCGGAGGTGAAAAAACCGTAACAAAATGAGTGGCCTTGAAAAAGCCCATCACACAGTTCGTGCGTGCTGTGGCAATGGAACTGAACTCCCTCTGAAGTTAATTTTTAGATGCTCATGAGAAAGGGATGGATGAGAATGGTATGAAAATATGGATTGAGAAAAGGAGCCCTTCTCCTGTCAGACCAGTTTTGATATCATCTAAGGGACTCTTAAAACAAATTCAGGGATTGCAGTGCTGAACTGGCTGTCATACCAGGAGGGCTGACATCACAGCTGCAATCATTTGACATTTCTGTAAAGACGCCTTTTGGATTTTTTTTATGAGATTAGGGTGGAATAGGTGGATTATAAATAGTAATTAAAATCGGCTGACTCCAGAAGGAGCAATGAAATAGCCCACAGTCACTCAAGTACGCAAATGGTTAAAATGTCTTGGGCTTCGGTCAGTGGGCTGACCATTGTGAAGTCTTTTATAAAGAGTGGCCTTGAAGGATGCAAGGACCACTATCTGTATGAAGACACTTAAGATGAGAATTCAAATTATGATGAAGAATTTCATGTATTTCCTGAGGAGGTAGACTGAAGATAGCGACATTAATTTTATAGAGTTTTAAAAAGTTAAATATATGAATTTATTCGATTTCGTGTTTTATACCTTAAACTTGCATTGATTTTGTGGTGCATCTTATACAAGCGAATGTCTTTTACAGTGAACAAAATGAGACATACACAGAAACATTTTGTCAAAAACCTCATGGAAAGAAGTTTAGAAGATGTAGATGGATAATATTAAAATGGATCTTAAAAGAAATAAGATGTGAGGATGTGGACTGGGTTCACCTGGCTCAGGATGTGGTTCCATGACACACACTTTTGTAGTTGGCATTAAATTTCTGAATTCCATAAAAGTAGACAGTTTCATGACTAGCTGAGAATCTTATCAACTTTTGTTTGCCATTGACTTATTCTATTCATTTTTATATTATTTTGATTACTTGTCATATTTATTTCTTCAGTGAAATATTTGCGTTCTTTTATGTTCAGATGTAGATGCGGCAATAACCACATTTCGTCGACTGCAGAAGTGTGACCCATTCCGACTGGATAATTTGGATACGTACTCAAATCTTCTATACGTGAAAGAACTGAGAGTAGAACTGGCACATCTTGCTCATCAGGCATGTGAGATAGACAAGTACCGTGTTGAGACGTGTTGTGTTGTAGGTGAGTTTGCATTGCGATAAAACCTCGTCTTTTGCGCGTATAAAGAAGGATGCTGAGTTCCTTGTGATACCTGTCTTTGATAGATTCTGTTTGGTATAAAAACCTCTGTATTGTTGAACCAAAATAATTACTTCTAATTCCCAAGCAAGTGGTAACAGTCCTGTTTTGTATTTCAAAGATCCATGGTTCAACTCTCAGAGTTCCTACGTAAGCGATAACAAGCGGGCTATGCGAGCTGCGTACGCAGCATGGGGTGTCATATGAAGCGGGGAATCGCTTGTTGTGTCCAACGTGAGAGACCGCAATAGAAGCATACGGCCTTCCTGCGCATGCACAGTCAGAGCTTTATTGCGAATGCACCTTACTGGCCAGCGCAGCGACTCGCGCGAAAATATCAAAATATTTGATCTTGGACTTTGGCCGCTTCCCTCTCCTGGCCGCTTCGCTGGAACCTAGGACAGCGCCACACAAACAGCCAGTTTGATATTTCTGCTTCACTCACGCAACTCGCACCGCTCACATTTAATCGCTCACGTAGGACAGCGGGTAAGAGAGTTTTTTTGGATTTTGTCAACTTTTTCAGGTAAATGTTTATACTTCTGGCACATCCTTCACAATTATTCAACCATGTGATGATAAGAAATTAGAAAATGACATTCAGTAACTTAGGAAGTGGCCAAAGATTTCAGAATTTGGTAATTTTATCAGGACTTCTTTGTTCATTTGTACAGGAAATTACTACAGTTTGAGATCAGAACACCAGAAGGCTGTAATGTACTTCCAAAGAGCACTTAAGCTGAATCCTCAGTATTTGTCAGCTTGGACACTTATGGGGCATGAATTTATGGAGATGAAGAATACTAATGCAGCGATACAGAGCTACAGACAGGCCATCGGTACGTACCTATTTCTTTCTCAAAGTACAGCAAGTATACAGTTTCATTATTACACCAGTTTTACTCGCGACTTCAGATGGCGTCAATACCGATCAACATCAAGGATGGTTCGTGACCAGTTATAAAGTAACATAGGTCTTACATTTTGTTGCCACCAACAGATGACAGACAAGTCCTATTCTCAGAAGATTCAAGTAACTGTGTTGTTAAATGATGGTCGTATACAAGTTGTTTTACGTTTATAAAATGAAAATTTAGAGGCAGTATCACAAGAATTATAATGTTGTGCTGTTCCAAATTTGTTAGTATTAAGTAGTAGACGAGTTGTAGAAACTGATATTAACGAGAAAGGGAATTCTTTTGGGAAAAAATGTAATTTGTGTCCTTAACTTTGCCACCAGCCACAGATTTTAGAATTAGCGGTGCAAAGTTTCTCGTTCTGTTGGATTTTGACCATTTGAGCTACTCTTAGCTTCTCAAGAATAACTCTGCTCCATGGAATTAAAAGTAATAAAAGTAGGGGTAGTAATCAGATTTAAGAGTAAAACAACATTTAGTTAACACATTTTATATGGAAACCAATGTTACTTACTGAATAGGACCTGCAGTGGGTGTGATGCAATTTAGAAGTAGCTCCAGAATTTGCGAACGCTGTTCGTTAAATATACGTATCCTTCTTCTACTTCTTCTTCTATGGCTCTTCGGTCCATGGCCTCCTCAATTCTCCTATTCCATTCGGTCCTCTGTTAGGTCCGTCTGTCCGAGGCTTTGATCGAGGTTTTGAAACGTGTTCCTTTTTACGGTGCAAGGTTGTTAGCCTTGCAACCAACCCCCAACCTGGAGGACCAGGGTACCTGTCTTAGTCTGACCTCTCCCCCTCGACCTACCCTACCAGTAGCTATGCTACCGCCAGCATAGCACTTGGGATCACTGAGGTACTCAAACCCCACCACCACGACAAGGTGCAGGTACCATAAAGTGGGGAATGTGTATCCTTCTCATTATTATTATCAACAGAAATGGTTGCCAACAATTTTCAGAAGTAAACTCATCCATAATATTTGCCAGAGAGTCTGAACAAAAATAATAATAGCTCAGCATAGGAGTAAGATTTTCATGGGGCACATTCGAAGCATATCTGAACACAAATTGTGTAAAAAGTTCATAAACTGTTTTCAGGATTGTGGAATTGGGATCTGAAAATAAAAGTGACAGTTATTACACGTCAGAATGAACCCTCTGGTCAGATCATGGAGGTTGAGTCGAAGCATATCTGAACACAAATTGTGTGAAAAGTTCATAAACTGTTTTCAGGAATGTGGAATTGTGGCTTTGATCTTGTTTTTAATTCCACACGAAAATGATATTTGGATAAATTAATCTTATATGAATGTACATTAGTCATACAGTTTGCAAGATGCTGTATTATGGCGGCATGTCCAAATTACTTCTCTTTGTGTGAATATGTTCATCTGCCTCGACTGTACACATTTCATTCTGTATCAACTTGGCATTTTACTGTTGTATAAGAGGTGAACAGAAGAGACTACCGAGCGTGGTACGGACTTGGCCAGACGTATGAGATCCTAAAGATGCTGTTTTACTGCTTATATTACTACAAACAAGCCCAGCAGCTGCGACCGAATGATAGTCGCATGCTCATTGCACTTGGAGAAACATACGAGAGACTGGATAAGATACGGGATGCCCAGAAATGCTACTACAAGGCTCGTAACGTCGGCGATATCGAAGGAACGGCGCTTCTTAAACTCGCAAAGTAATATGTCTGATTACATTTTAAATATAGTTTAATTAGAATATTTTTATGTTTTGTGAATACTGAAAAGTATTTTCAGTTATGTCAGGCAATAATATATAATGGCTGACAAAAGTATGTAACACAAAAACATAAATACTGTTCCAAAAATATTTAGTAGGCTTAACGTTAAAAGCCTCGTAATATTTTGTTTATTAAATCGTACTTCGCGGACTTAAATTTTATGTTAAAAAAATTATTTTCTGATCACAAAAGCCTTCCTTCATACCAGTCTTGTTTAGTCGCGCCGTTACAAACTGTGCTTTTTTTCAGGTTGTACGATAAACTGAATGAGACCAGTTTCGCGGCGGCATCATTTTTGGAATACGTGTCAGAGAACGAATCCCGTGGAGATAAAAGTGAACTAAGCCAATCATACAAATATTTGGCTAACTTCTTTCTGAAGCGAAATCAACTGGATAAAGCTTACCAGTATGCACAAAAGTGTCTGGAATATGACGAGGTGGGTGTGGTGTAACAAATAGAAGAGCTTATGATGCTTAAAATATTTCGGTCTATGTCGCGAGGCCAACAAGAAGCCCAAAGTGATAATTATTCTATTTGGCTTCTTTCTGAGCTGTGCCCTGCTCAGAAGTGAACCCTATATTTGTGTAAAATAATATGGGGCATCAGCTTGACCCAGGGATTCGACTAATGGGGTAATAAAAATCTAAATAAATTGCCAGATTGGCTTTGGTATATTTAGATTCTGTAAAACCATGCTCGCAAGGATTTAATTTAGACTTTAAGTCATGTGAAACGTGATCGTGAATAACAAGTTAAAATAGTTTGGAAAATGTATTAAGTATAGAAATGGGTTGGTGGTTACTAACAGGCAGAATTACCTTTTTTGAAAACACGAGCGACTGCTGCCTGTTTCCATGCGGTAGGAAAATAATGCGCAGTTAGACTTAGATTAAAGATACGTTTGAGAACGGAGATCTGAGAACAACCCTTTATAAAAAATGCTAGGGATGTCGTCAAGTTTGACAAATTTAGATGGTCTTAGACATCTACGGGTTTTACAGATGTCCAATTTGGAAAGATGCGCTAATGATAAAAATTCATAAGACTACACAAGGGAGGGGAATACCAAACAAGGGGTATTGTAGATTGGCTGAAAACGCTTAGCAAAAGCATTAGCAACTTTATAGGGTTTTGCCGAACGAGTACGAGCAACCTCAGAATTTCTTTTCCTACGAGACACCACATATTTCCAGAATTCCTTAGGTTGCAGTCTTAAATTATTATCGGTAGACTTCAACCATCTGAGTCTGTCACATATAATAATAGCGTTTACTAGCTTACAATAGGAGGAAAATGTACTACAAAAATAATCAGAATATATCTTTTTAAAATGTCTGTAATAGTAACCTTTTTACCAAATGTATTTCTGTAAAGTGCTCGAGAACCAATGAGGGGATTTTGACTTTCTGATGAACCCACGGGGAATTTCCTGAGCATTTGGGACAGTAGCATTGATGCTGGCGACAGCATCATCAACAGAGGTGCTACTGTACATAAAAAAGTATCACCTCTTAATGATGCTTTTACCAGCCTAATGGTAATTATAGACACCCTGCTTTATTACAGTCAAAGGAAGAAGGCAAGGCATTACTAAGGAGTATCGCACAGAAAAGGAGTCTGCAAGAAGAAGGCGAGATGCAAGTATGTTTTTTTTTCTGTTTGACATTGAACCACAGAGTGTTAATATTAATCGCCCGAAGCCAGTGTGTTTAACTCTTTATTTATTTTAATGTTGACATATATGAAGTCCATTTGTTAAGGTTTCAGTTCTAATTCTGTAAAGTGTCTTTTTCCTGTGAACATCTTCGCAACGTATAATTCCCAGAAACGAAGAATATGCAATTTTAAGATGCAGGTTAAAATTATTTTCCAAGTACTAAGCAAGTTTTTGCAGAAAGTAATCTGTGTATAAGCCTCACCTGACTTGAAAATAAAATAAATATCGTTATCGGAATACAAAATGGGAGAGTCAAATATCTGGACCTGGATTGGACGGGAAACTGCGCATGCATATCAGCATACCCGTATACTCGGTTGTTCGTGTGGCGGCGTACAAATGATAACGGCAATATTTTTAAAACGATTCCAAAATCTATAAGCGAATTTTTGCCTCCGGCGACAGGTTGTAACAACAATTAACATCTCATGCATATCCAAATAAAATATAATAATTTGTCATTTATTGACATGAAATATAATAACTTTCAAGTATATGTCATTTATCCACACGTTAACCTAACCTAACCTAACCTATTTTTAAAGTGATGTGTCCAGATAACACACAAATACCAAATAAGATGTTGTTTATAAGCCTCATCAGGAGCTGGTGTAGTTCAGTCAGTATAGTGACTGGCTATGAATGGGACGGCCGGGGTTGCAAACGATCGACACTTTGCCAGTTTAACAGAGCAGTATGTTATTTTTAAATAATCGGACATTGGCGTGCTGGTCCCACCAATATTAGTGTTACGTGAATCAGTACACAGCAAAGACATGACATTTGTTTATATTTCTTTAATCTACTTTGTAGGTAGAAGAAGATTCTGCGTCCATCATCAGAGTAAGACCGAGATTAGCCGAAGGATCTCCAAACAGTCAGTTGACGCCATTGAATCTCAGCTTCACCAATTGAGCAAGCGTATTATTTTTGTTGCCTTCATCGAGGCAGAAACGAGTTTAACAAATAAAACCTGCAATAAGTCTCTTGTATTCTCGTTTCTGTAACAGCTGTTTAGATTCTTATATGTAGAATTTATTTTATGCGTGTTTTATTATACCTTGAGAATTGATACACCGATTTGCACCAAACTTGGCTTCCTTATTCCATTGATACCAGAAAGAGATTTTGGAAGGGTCAGAACTCTGGAAAATGTGTTTTGACTTTGAGTGTCTGTGAGATTGGTTTCTGTAGCTCAGAAACTAAATATAACAGATGAGTTTTGTGTTCCCTCTAGGAGATTGCAGAATAAAAGGTCACGACCCTGAAAAACTGTTCCCTGGTTCAAATCCCAATGAAGATGTTTTCTGTATCTTGCATTGATTTTAGAGAAGAATGTTTTTCACAAAAATAGGTTTTTCATAAACTTGCACCCATAGGAAAATAAAAAGAGATGTACATTACAAAGAAATCTGGTGTTAAAATTTCATCATGAGAACGTATAACACTTGAATTTTCAAGAATAATTAATTGTATTAATCTTTATTTCAAGCATTACTATCAGGAGACTGTAAATATGTAAATTCTTACCCAATCATATTCATCTGTCTTCGTGGATTCTAATAATAAATTTAATAAATTAACCGGGTGCCTCAGTCAGTCTAGTGACTGACTACTGACTGGATGACTGGGGTTCGATCCCCTTTAGCCTCTGCGTCCAGACTGGCTCTGGGGCCCACCCAGCCTTCTATCCGATGGGTACCGGGATCCTTTCCAGGGGGTAAGGCGCTCTGACCACTCGCCCCCATCGAGTGCGGAGGTCAAGAATTAGTAAGAGCTGTACCGCCTCTCCTGGGTTCGTTGCCATGTGACTCCGAATTCGATTAATGGTATTTTTCAATTTCTTTTGGTCTCTCCTGATAATTATTCTACTCCCACTTCTTATCCATTGATCTTCGACTTCATCAAGCAGCATCTCCTAAGTCCTAAGTTACTAAGTTATGGGCTTCATCTCTGAATCGGCACTTCAGTGGTTTGTGAGTACAGATATTATAAAAAAAACTTTATTTTGTAGGCCTGCAATGAGTTTCTTTTCTGAGCTCCCTGGCAAATGGCAAAACAGTTGCCGTGAATTTCAACGTGAGAATGTACTTTTTTTTTGTAGATGTGCCGGGGTTGTGGATCTCTGCAGGTCGCCGAAGATTCGTCCATTACCGGGGACGCACGAAAATAATCGCGAAATTTCGTAAAATATATATTTTTTAAAACTGTTTTAAATGAAGGTTGCAATGTTTCCTGTAAAATTTGGCTGATTGGCGTAGGATTTCCTATGCTTCTTGAGTAGATTTTGGAGGCAAAACTTGAGAGAGATGGACGGAAGCAACTCTGTAATTCGTTTTTTAAGCCCTCTGTGTAAAAGAGTACATGAGTCCGTGATGGACTAGGAGCGACGATCTGATTTGTCCAGCTGGGAGTTCAACGCCTTGAAACTTTCCATTGTATTTCGAAGCAAAAACAACAAAAAAGTCTTCCTTCATTAACTTCCACTAACGACGTTGGCTCCAGAAAACAGATAGACCTAATTAGACTCCGTAGAAGACCAACCACAATCGAAAGTATTTGGGAAACAGTTGCGGTAATAGGACCCCTGAGGAAGGTTCCCTGTGCAATGATGAAAATTTGGACAGGAATTATTTTCTTTTCGAACTTAGCGGCAGTCTTCGGGGACGAAAGCGACGTATCCTTTACACCAGCGAAACCATGGAGCCAACATGCAGGTAATCTGTGTCATTGAAAAGAGGTACATTTATTTACATTAATATTAAATTCGTATGTGATTTAATACGCCAATGTTTGTTTAGGCTGCTTGTTACAAAACCCTCGTTCCAGGACCAATTAAGATGTAACTCATTAACAGACGTTACACAAGGAGATATTTTACGAAACAAATGTCTCTTTTAAGACAGACTAAATGTCGTGATGAAAATCGGGACTCTCTTGAACTCTTATAAAATTCGGAATAAAACAATTCGTGCCCCGGGGGGGGGGGGGGGGGGGGGGGGGGTTGCCTAAGTCACTATGTTATGGAGTGGACTTTCGGGGTTCCATTTGTGACGGGTAGAATTCTTTTTTCGGCACTGGAGCCAACCCGATGGATACCGAGGACTCCTTCCTCGAGAGGAGAACTTCCTGGGGAGTGAACCTGTCCACTCGCCTCTAATGAGTGGAGCTGTATCTTTCCGTACGTCATCACGAGGTAGTGCGTAAACAAACAAGGAACACGTCTACATAACGTGGCATTTAATTAAATTATAACTTTGGAAATGTGACAGATTTGTTCTTGGTGACGTATATGGAATGTTTTAAGTGACAAAATAGTTATCCAGAAAATTAAAAGGAAAATCTCTTTAAATCCCGAGAAACCACACGAAGAAAATGCATGCGTAAATAAACACAAATAAAGTTGAAATGACAAGATGGACGATTTCATTGTAGGATTAACGTGGTTTCAGACTGGCCGTTCTGCGAGTTGGGAGGCACGTACTCTGTCCCCCATAAGAAATTCTGTGATCGGTTCTTCATCTGCCAGAACGGACAAGCTTACCTGGGACAGTGCGAGGACGGTTTGGCGTTTGTGCCGTTTAACGGGTGCAAACTTCTGCACTTCGTCGACTGTTCCGTGCGAACTAAACTACGTAAGAAACACAAAGATTCCATCCAAAGTTGCGTAAGGCCAAGAGTGAGTTTAAGATTGCCACAGATGGTGATGTGAATGAATGCGATGATTACGAAAGTCCGAGGAAGTTTTTGTGGCTTGTCAGAATATTCGAGTACGATTCAGCCAATCACAGGGACCTTGCCGAGTACGAAACTGAAGACATGAAATGACGAGCAGATAAGCCGTCAGCTTACAACTGTGAGATTTGAGGTTAGAGGTCGGCACGGGCCGAAATTTTAGAATCTCAACCGATCCCTCCCGATGAGCATTTGGCTCGAGCCCAAAATGTAATTTGCATACACATATGGGGTTAGTTCAATCAGCATGTTGACCGGCTGCGGTCTGGATAACAAGGGTTCGGTCCTCCAGAACAGCGGAACTCGGTCCTTCGCTGCAGCATCCCTAAACAAAATAAATTAATTGGTATTCTTTATGGAGAAACTTTGTTTTCTTTGAGGTAAGAGCTGAATTAATAAATATTGTTTAAATGAGTTTCGGCTTCTGACGTCCACTTCTCAACGCTTTGCGTAATTTTTCATCTTTGTGCCGCGTGTTGATGTTTTGTTTTCGAGTGGACCCGTGGCGATTCTCGAACACGAGGACCCTTGTCCTAACTGGACATTTCGTGTATTTCCTCTCTCCAAGTACTGCGTTAGTACCTTGAGATGCATCGTGCCCACACTTCCTTCCAAAGTCACAATTCATAATTAACTTTCCATTCAATGCTGCAAATGTAAGTAGGAAGGTGTCGTTGAATGAACTAGTTTTATCTTGTAAACAAATTATTTTAAGCCAGAGATGTTTGGTTTTGAGTTTCTAAAACGATACCAATTGGTCTGTCGATTAACTTGCTCTAAGTTGCGTTATTAATTCTCTGCGTTTCAGAATCGCCGAAAGGCAAAGGAAAATGTCCAAGGTTGAATGGATTGCATAAAGCTCCAAAAGGCTGTGGGAATTTCTACAAATGTGAAAATGGCACTGTAGTTCCTGATAAATGTGCAGGGGGTTATGAATTCGATGGCCACACGAAACTGTGTCGTTTGGCAACGCCACAAGAGCGAGAGAAATGCTCACATTCGTCGACTTCTTCAGGTATGACAATTTTACGGGTCATAGAAACCTAACCTAAAATTCCATTTGAAACTGATTGTCTTCTGTGTTAGATGCGTCTCAGCAGTATTTTCTGGAATCCTGTTTTCACCGTGTCCAATTGACACATGGAAATCAACGCATTAGATCGTCTAATGCAGTGGTATTCAATCTTTTTTGTTCTCGTACCCCAAGATATAATTTATCTTCAACTTTGTACCCCCAAAGTTGTTGGTGTATAATTCAAGTTATACATAGTATATAATCTACATCTAAAATAAATTACATTACGGATTATTCAGTGTTTATCATAAAATAATATTTTTTTCTAAATTTCACGTACCCCCTAAGATGTCTTCGCGTACCCCAGGTTGAATACCACTGGCCTGAACGTAATTATCTCCATCCTTTTGCTGTCCTATGTCGCACTGAGTAGGAAATTATATATTTTTAATCATTTTTGATTCATTGAGCAATGCAACACTGATATATGCATATTCTTTCGTCTTCCTATTAATCATTCTTTATGAATAGTGACTTCATCGTTTAAACTTTGCATTCTGTTTCACTTTCCTGGTGTTGAATTTAGTCTAGACCTTTTAAAAGGGACCACAAAGGGCTAACAAAACTGCAATAAATATTTCCTCATACATTACAGGCAATCAGTGTTTTGTCGAAGATTCACGCCCATACAAAAATCGTGTTTCATACAGTATTGTATATTTTAATGTCTGTTTTAGAACATGTTATAGGAAGGCAATGTTTTTTAGCTGATTAGTACTGGCATTTCACGTCCTGGACTTGTCATGCATTCTGGCGGTGGGACATGAACCTATCGGCAACCATTTTTCATTTGACATCCTCTGAGCCAGTTTCCCAAAGTTAAGTCTTGTATTATCGTAGACTAATCTATTCCAAGATGTCTTCCACCATGAAAATCGTGCATAAAACACAGTTTACTAGTCTTGACTACGACATTGTTAAAAGTAGCGATTTCGCTGATCTGCAGGTTTCTTCCAGGTTTTAAGTGTCCTGCAAACAACGTGTTCCCGTTTGGAGACCACTCTCGCCATCCCTACCCAGGAAGCTGTTCCCTCTTCATCATGTGTCTGAGAGACGGCTCCATCAAGGTGGGGTCTTGTAGCGCCGGGTCGGCTTACAGCCCAGCAACACACAACTGCGAGCTAAAAGCCACTGTTCCCGGTTGCTCGCAGATCTCATAATGATTGTGTTTTCTCAAGGTTAAAGTGACTTGTGTTTCGGACAAGAACCTTTATCGATTTCAATGTTTTCTAGTAATTGTGGCGAATTTCAGTGTGACTGTAGCTGACAGTACGCCTATTTGTACCAGAATTCCTGTTCCATTGTTAGCGGCTATGAGGTCCTAACTCTGCACCTGGGCATTGGATTATCTGTTTTTTACTCTGTAGCATTTTTGTTTTATTTATGTGTGTTTTCTTTCCGCGTACATTTATCGAAGATTCTGACTGCCATTGTTGTTTTAAAAACTCATCTCAACTTCTGAATTTGTACACTTAAAGACGTCCACAGTAAGAAGAAAAGAAATCGTAATCTGTATTCAATCAACAAACACAAAACTGGGTCGAATATTTATTTTATTCATAAACAAAGAAACTTGTTTGTTCAAAAGATAAAATAAATATATAACTAGCAACATGCAGTAGAGTTCTTATTGAGAAGATGATATCATTCAGCAACTCTAGAAGTTCCCAGGATTCATAGAAACCTAAGGTTAATTACAGTGTTTAAAACAGACTGCACTGGTCCCTGTTTTGAGTGAGATTAACTCAGTTCAGATACTCCCCCATCTACTCACTTAAAACCCATTTAATATTATCAAGGTTTTCCAGGTGATCTTTTATTTCCAGGCTTTCCAACTGAAATATTGCACGCATTTCTTGTCTCCTTCATGGATATTACGTGACCCACCTATTTCATCTTCCATTATTTATCCATCCTAATATAATTTTGTAAATATTTAATATGACGTGGAATTCATCATTAGGCAAATAGCCTTATTTTAAAACATCTTACTAAGCTCTTTCTGCTGCAATTGCCAGGATTATTACGAATCGCGACAGAAAAATTTATTTCTTTCAGTATTATTATTACATATTTTAAGATATACCGCGTTCCAGCGTTTTTGGCCGCTGAACTTTGTGCATTGGAACCTCGGAGCGAGTCACTTACCAGAAGTTTGCTGGAAGGGATGGCAGCAGGCCGCGTACAGTAGACTCCAAATAAATTATCACCACGGTATGTAACACAGGAAAGTCGACTAAGCGTGACTAGACGTGATGTAATGTAACGGAGTGCGTATGTTAAATTATACCTTCCACGTCCTTTAAAATTCATTGTTTACTATCATCTTCCATATACTATAAATAAATGAAACGGTAGAATTGAGGTTTTCACGGCGGTGAGTCAAAACATGTCTGTCGTATGTGTTGTTAAGCAGTCAGGATACTGATAGATTGCAACACGAATAGTATGCATGATAGCTGATAGATGGCAGTAAAGGCTATGACGATTTTAATCGTTTGTGACACACACTGGTAATGACATCAGGACAGACTATCACCTTCCATGTCGCACGTTTCAGCATCTATCGCGTTGATATCACTATTACAGGAAAATAAAGACTACGAGTCTCGAAAAGACTCCAATTTCATAACGTCCCTTCAGCCACTCTCGAGTTATTTTATGCTTACTTACGCCGTCACAGCCAATGACGTCATCAGTCATTGCAGAGAATAGAATAGAATAAAATTAATTTATTCCATAGATACTCCATAGGCCGAAGCCAAAGATGTAGAACATGTCATAGCACAAATATAAATTACATAGTCGTGACAGTAATTTACAGTCAATTACAATATTACAGTACAAATAATCACAACACAAAGGGGATACACTTTTAGTGCTGGCTTAAACTTCTTTACAGTATGATTTTGACTTTGTAGTGGGTGGGCTATTATTGAATAGTATTCCAGTATAAGAAACTACTTTTTTATATTTACTGAGTTTGATATTTTGGCATGTGAAGGTTACATCTATATCTTCCACTTACGTTGAGGATATCTGCTTTTGTTTGAACATTTTTAATGTTCTCCGCTACAAATTATAGTAATGAGACTAGGAATTTGCTGGCTAGTGGAAGAATATTAAATTTCTTAAACAATTCCCCACATGAGGCTTTAACTTTAGTGCCTACCATTATTTTATTGATTTTCCTGTGGATATAAAATACGTTTTTGCTGTCTGTTGAGTTTCCCCCCCGAAAATATTCCATGTGACATGATCAAATGGAAGTAAGCAAAGTAAAGTAATTAGTGAACAGACAGTCCTCATTGCAAAGCATATATCCGGAAGGCTCTGCGACCTTTCATTTCCATACGAATATTATTGGGTTTCCTTTGTCTTTTAAGGAAATGCTGAAATGGTTCCAGAGTTCCAAGTTGTTATTGCTTGGTCAGCATAGCACGAATACTCGAAGGCCCATCTGTAATATGATCACTTTTGTACTCCAACCCTCTGTGCTGTAAAGAGCATCATGACGAAATCAGTGAAAACAAAACGTTCGGATAATCTGTGAACGACGCTGCCGAATTTTTAACCACACAGAAACACAATTGAATAAGTGAATGTGTGACAGTTGTCTTCTGAATGGCTGTCAAATAATTTGTGAAGTTCAAAATATATCATTTTAGAGTTGGTGCATATTTAAGGAATTTATGTACGTATGTAAGGAAATAATAAGCATGTCACTGTTAAAAGAGGCAGGTGGACTGTAATTAATACAGTACTTAAAATGAATCTTCGAAAAATTACGTTTTTGCTGTGAAATCTATTGGGCTTGGAGAGATACTGAAGAGTTTCATAAATTATTTACATGATTGAGTTTGGTTTACTGTAAACAATTGGGTATTCTAAACAGTTTTCAATGTAGTAGTCATCGTGTAGACTTCACGAATCAGTAGTGTCAATTTTAGCACTTAATAAGTTTAGTGTAATATACGGTATTGCTAAGTATACTCATGTAAGTTTCGAAATTAAAATAATTATATTTTTGCATTGAGCTGTGTTCATTGTTACAGTTTGTACGGTGTGATGTAGAATTTCTGTCAAATAGAGAAATCGTGGAAAAACTTTATGGTGTCACATTATCTGCACCTGAATGTGAGCATTATATAGTTATTAACCTAACACACACAAAAAAATCCGAGTTGTCTAACCATGCAAACCTGCCACTGAGGTGTTGTTTTCGTTTTATGTGATATATGTACTGGAAATTAATTAACCTATGACATGATTTGCTAAATTGTTTCACCTAATTTTATTATTTTTGGAATTGGTCAAATGTGCCAAAGAGACTGCTCTGAGTGCTCATTATTTTGTACATATAATGGCATAATGTTTTCATATGTGTAATGCTCGAAGGATTAAGCTCTAGTTAATGATGCATAGGAAAAGTAATGAGGAAGTTGATTTCCCAAAGAATGCAAAGTGTGTTATAATGGAACTTGATGCACGTAGTTTTCTTATAGCATCTTTTTATTATGTTTGTATAATTTAATTGTATTTAAGAAGGATGAAAAATTAGGTCTTTACCTAGGTTTATGCCCAAAGAATACTGCAAAGTGGCATGAACCTGTTATTAAGCTTGGTTAGCTCAGGTGCCTCACAAAAATCATTCAGTTATGAGGGGATTTGTTGAGACTTGTGTTAATTTCACATGGGATGATCTTTGTGTGTGTGGGCATACTCAGAAGCAGAGGTGCATTACTTTGTGACTATTCTATAAAATAAGTTAAACTACAGTGGAACAGCTGGCTATAAATAACCAGCTGTCATTGTGGGCCTATGCAAGAAGTGTGCCATGTCACCTGCATGATCCATTCACCATTAACTGTTTAACCTGTTCATATAAGGATTTATGATAACATACAGATTATAATTAATATTTAGATTGCTTCCTCCTGCAGTTTGGGAGAGTCTTTACCAAAATCTAAATTTTAACATGAAAGTTAAAAGTTTTTAAAGGTTTTTTTTTGCACTAAAATTGTGGTTATTATTTCTGCACACAGATTGATTCAACTTAAGTTTAAGATGTGTACATTTTGATGTATTATACTAGCTAAGATAGAGGTTTGCCTGATGAAGATACATTGTATCAAAACATGTTGCCAGTGGATTACAATCAGAACAACTGTTCATAATTCATACTCATCTTCATATATCATGGTGATAAGTAAAGGAGGGTGAGAGTTCGCAGGCCATGTAGCACACATGGGATATGTAATAAATATATTGCTATTCAGATTTTTAGTTAGGAACGTGCATAGTTTCAAGCAACAGAAACCATCTTCATCAGGAATCAAACTCAGGACACTTTTCCTGAATGTTTATTCTCCTGTGTTCTTTTCCTGGTTTCAATAAGCATGCCAGGTTTGGTGCAGACTGGTTTATCTGTTGTTGACCTATAAGTGAACACGCACAAAAATAAACAAAACCACAGTTTCAGTTTTTTGTATAAGGTTAGAGAAAAATGTGTGTGTGAGATGAATCACTGTATCAGCTGTTTATATATTTTTAAGTCCTATGATTTAGGTATAATAAAGGTATTATGTAGTAAATTGTTAATTTAATTAAGTAAAATATGTATGTGTAACTAAATTGAGTCAATAGGTTAGCATTAGTCTTACGCTTTTCCAGTTTACAGTCGTCTACAATCCAGGGATGCCTTCCGCTTACTCCTCCTTAATGTTGGTCGAGAAAACTCTATCAGGAAAGATGAAATCATAAACATAATTTTCTTTTCAGAACGTATTTTAAAGAATGGCCGGGCAACAAATCTGCTTGAAGTGGAATAGTTTCCAGTCCAACATTGTTACAAGTTTTGAGAGTCTGTGGGAAGAAGAAGGACTTGTTGATGTTACATTGGCTAGTGATGGTCAGTGTATTCGAGCTCATAAAGTAATTTTATCAGCTTGCAGTCCGTTCTTCAGAAGAGTGTTTCAGGTAATGTATGAAATATTATATACTGTATTATGCCATCAATGCTTTTTTTAATTCTCTGCCTTGAACTAGGTTTTTAGGAATTCTCGTTAAGTTACCTTGAGTAATTATTGAATGTGTTTTTATTTTGTACCATGAACTGTCATTATACTTATTGACCCTTGTTAACATTTTGTTCCTTTATATATGCTCCCGCCACGGTGGTCTAGCGGTTAGAACGCTGGCCTTGTAATCCTGGGGTCTCGGGTTCGATTCCCGGCGGTGCCCAAATTTATAACTTGTGTTGGGCAAGGCCGTGGTCTAGGCAACACGGAGTTTTCCTCCGTGGCATCCCAACAATTACTCCATTCACACACAGAAGAAGGCAATGGCAAACCACTTCTGGATCATCTGCCAAGAACGTATATGAACAGGTCCCAGTCCGAGAAAAGGATGGAAGGATCCTGTTCATATGGACCTGTCGTCACACAGAACACTAAATAATAATAATATATGCTCCCACAGCAAGACATAATCTGAATATATTTGTTTTCTGTCTCTTTTTTCTACTCTTTTCCGTGGTCGTTACTATTATACGCATTAAAGTGTTAAATAGCAATGGTGAGTTGATACTCCTCTGTTTTAAATCTTGAAATGTATCAAACCATTCTGGTTTATTACCACCAGTTATTGCAGAGTTATCACTTTGTTTTACGTGCTCTTATTTATGTAATTGACCGTGCAACCTTTTATCATAATCGTGGATACATCATCCTTCACAGTTGTTCTTGTTCTGTTAATGCTCTAAAGCTATATCTGCCTCCATCATACTTCATCTGTACTTGAGTTTCTCCTTCTCCTGTAGTTGCCTATTCTTTTCTATTCTATTCTTACTTTTCCTGAAATTGTTTATGATATTTTCAGACATTTTATACCTCTTTGTCTTTATTTGTTAATTATCGTAATCAATTTCTTGTCCTTTGGATTTTGCGGCTGGAGTTCAGTGTGCGAGTCTGGCTTTTTGGTGTGAGCCGCATTGAATGTCGAGTATTAGCCAACATTTCAGCAGGCACTGCAATTGCCTGAAAGCTGAAGTAACATGTTATTAAATTTCTCATTCTTCTCTGTCTTTGAAATAATTTAAAATTAATATCCTGTCATAATTATAACTTTCTTTCAGAGTATTTTCATGTATTTTTCCGTGCTTCTTTCATTTTATATTTTCACTGTTTCTTTTACTAATTGCTGTATTTCCTTCTGTTCTGTCTTTGAACTAAGTCACTCAGGTTCCAGCTTCTGCGAAGTGTTTATTTTTTACAATTTATTGATGGTCTCTACTGGCACATTACTTCCACTGTTCCATTCTGATTCTGCCAATTAAATTTCATCTTCAGGTCACTTTTCTTTAACTCTTTACATTCAGTTTTACTTCATTGTGTTTATGGGTACAGATTTGCCAGTCATCCACTTGTGAAAATTAAGGGACATTTTGCATGGGTTTCAGTGTGCACAAATGTAACTTTTGTGCAGTAAGGTACATAGGAATTGAAATATTTTACAACATTCCTTATTCTTAAATTTAATGTATGTTTGTCCTTTTAATTTTAAAGTCGAGCGTAGAGCATATCCATGATATTTACATTTTTAAGTATAATGTGGCTATTATTTGATTTCAGAGCAATCCATGTCAGCATCCAGTGATCATTCTTCAGGATGTACATTTCACAGAGCTTCAGTCTCTCCTCTGTTTTGTATACAAAGGAGAAGTCAACATTGAACAGGATAACCTTCCTGCTTTATTGCGAGCAGCTGAAACGTTGCAGATTCGAGGACTTTCTGGAGCTTCAGAACAGGTTAAAGAGAAGGTATTTACCATTTCTGTTTCCCATATGATCTACGAGATTTGCCCTCAGTGGACTAGTGGTCAGCGTGCTCGCCACTGGACCCAAGGTTCAATCCCGGCAGAGGTCAGTGGATTTTTCAGGATGATAAAAATCCATAGCACAACTTCCTTAAGGGGGGTAATAAAGCCGGCGGTCCCATGTCGTAGATTTACGGCATGTAAAAGAACCTCACGAGCATGATACGAGATGTTTCGTAAGCAAAATTCAGCGGCCATTTCTTACCCAAGTCTCCAGATTAACTGCTAGATGGCTCTGGCAGTCAAATGAGGATTGAGTAGAAATTGTGCAGTCAGTGGGCTGGTCACTCACTGCTCTTAAATGCACACTTCGAGACCAAGAAACCTCCCGAAAAAGAGGCAACGAAAACCTACAACCGGGTTGTAGAGTCAAGAAACAATAGCGTGTGATCTACAAGAATTGGAGTAGTACAGTTAGTACAGAGCCTAGGCTGTGAGCTGGACTTCTGGGGTTCGATTTTCACCACAACGTCAAGGAAAGAAGTGTTGGTGCTTTATGTTTTTAGTCCTCAGTTAAAGGATAAGAGAAATGGTTATCACTGTCATTTTTTCAAGTATCCTGTTACGGATATCACAGAACAATGTTTATGTCTTTGAAGTCTTCTGAAGTGCTTTCTTTCTTTCTTTCCTTCCTTCCTTCCTTCTGTGAGTAAGTGAGTTCTTATTGGATTCTTTCACAGGTTATTATAGTTTTGTCTGTGGCATTGTATAGAATCTCTTGTTGTAGGTTTAATTTGGAATTCTGTTTTGATCTAAAGAAACACGTCGGTTGATTCTTGTCATCAATTTTCATTAGTATGTGAATTTTTTTGCTAGAATGGCATGAGGCACAGCAGTGATGTCAGGTTGTGTTAGTGCATGGCATATGAAGGACACCTTTGGAATGTTGTTGTACTCCAAAGAGTACACATCAACATGGTTGCTTCCTTATCATTTGCATGATCTTTTCAGATGGCAGTTTGCACTAAGAAAAGTGCTTTGGTACCTGCGCAGGAGAGTTCCCAAGACTCTGCACCTCCTGTGAAACGTCAACGAAGTTTGCAACAGTCCCAATCCCCACCTCTGCCTGATACCCCTCTCGCCCTTACTCCTACCTCTCGTCCTTTTCGTCCCCGACGCCCGTCCACGTCGTCAGTGGAACCTTGGGAGCAGCCTCAACAGCCAAGTGAACCTGAATTTCCACCTAAAGTTGAACCGAGGGACAGTGAGTCATGCAGTCTGTCCCCACATTTACTGTCGATGGAAGACCCACTTGAGGACAGCACAGATGGTTCGCTCGGAACAACTCTAGATCTGGCAGGGGCTGAAGGAAAACTAGCAGGATCTGATGCTAGTCAAGTTAAAGGTAAGATTTTGGCTTCAGTAAGCCCTTTTTTAAAATATCACTGATTGATTTTATTTTATTCCTGCTTAAATGTAGGAAGCCTGTGTTTTGTCAGTCAGCCGCAAAACGTTTGTGAACTTTTCTAGCGATACATTTTGTAGTGTTCTAATACATAATTTGGAGAATGATGTGATTGTGGAGATCAGTCATTATTTGGGTTTGAAAACATGCGGTATAGTTTCTGTGAACTTTGAAACAACTTCATCATTCTTTATATTTCTTACGGCATTGTCCGTTATCTTTTGTCTTTGCTTCTGTGGTCCTTTCTTTGGCAAGTTTCATTTACGTATATATTTTTACTCTGTTGATAAATGACAAGATATGTAACCCTTAAGGTACCATTTGGCTGCACGCGACAGAGACAAGCGACCGAGGCAGGCGACAGAGTTACGAGACCAAGACTGGTCGCTTCCTGTCTGCTCTCTGTACAATC